AGAGCAAAAAAAACCAAAACAATTTACATTCGGTCAATAGTCGTTTCTGGCAGAAACAAAAGAAAGTCAAGTGCAATTTACTTTCATCTGTCAAGTTTGACAAAACATGTCTGAAAGTCATGATGATGTCCCTCCAGTTATGGTTGTTCTGTTTTCTCCAGAACGGCTAAAGAGCCAGTGTTCATGAACTGATATCTCACTTCAGGTATCGGAGGTTTGTTGGGGATCTGATCAGGGGCCAGCCAGGCTCCTTGTTGAAAGAAGACTTGATTCTGGGTGTAGAACCAAAGGTCGCTGTAGGATTGATTGATATCCACTCTGCTTTGCCTGGGGGAAGAATGCTGGGGCTGGGGGACGGATGGATGGACGGACATATGGATGCATGATCCGGTTGAGTATCATGAAGTCTTATGATGATATGAAGGCTCTCCGAATAACTGAGAGTCTTGCGGCTGACGTTGATCAATGATGTCATTTCATGTGATCTGTGAGCTGCTGAGCGATAAACCCTGAGACTGCAGCCATCACGACCTCCAGGCAGCTGTGATCAGACATAGATCCTGTCATCATGGCCAGTGACAGTCACAATGACCCCGACAGGTAGAAAGAGAGAAAAAGACAAACTTCCAACCATCAAGATTTGTTTGAGAACCTAAAAATGAACTTTTGATGATCCCTCAGTGTGAGTGATTTCACTTGGTAATGTGGAACGACTGTGTCGGCCGGAGCTGGTGAGAGGAGACGAATCGCTTTCACACACATATCTCCATCATCGCACATTGCTCTCATAATCACGTTAACGGCTGCCGGCCCAGTGGGGCTCAGACACTTCACACGGTAATTTGTTTGAAGTTGCAACGCGGCTGCTTTAACTCACAGCTAATGTTGGAGAACTAATGTCGGCGGCAGAGTGACTCAGATCTGTGCACACGACCTTTGTCACTTTTCCCTGAAGTGCTGCTCTTCATGTGACGTGTGGACGAACAGGAGCTCGCCGTGACTTAGTTCAGACTGAAGTGAGTTTTCAAAAACCTCTTAGGGATGAAGGTTGCAATCAAGTGATAAGTGGAGCAAGCAAAACACTGGAGACTGGCGTTTATGTTCGACGTTTCTGCGACCTGTAATGTGAGATTGCTAATCTGCCATATTCAGACGCCTTCATGGCTACAGGTACTGACCTTTTGAAAATCGTCTTTTTGATTGTGTTAAAGGACCCTGACGTTTATTTCCTGTGGTCAGGACATTTTCTTTCTCCGTCACACTAGAATATAAATTTGGTAATTTCTTATATTATAGAGGTTGTTTTTCATCAGATAATCATCTCTCACTTGTTAGAACAAACCACAGAACTGACTTAAGGGACCCTTTTTCACCTTTTTTTAAACAATACATTTTAGACCTTTATTTTGAAATATGTTCACTTTGGAGGTTCTAAAAATGAGAAAAATTCCATCTTTTGTTTTGTGCAACATGAATCTTGTTCCTCAGCGGTTTTCTTTGTCCTCCACATGCTGCATAGTCTTCATTCCCACCCCTTCCCCTTGCAGTCACCGATGTGGACACAAATAACAGCTCTGTTATAACACGTGCATATTAACCAGCTCCGTCACCACTAACATCAGTGCAAAGTGAACGAACGTGCTGCGAGTGAATGAGAGATGCATGACTTGCTTGAACGTTGCATTCTGGTCTCCCCCTTTCTTCCTGTTCCTTAGTTTCTCTTTGTTTTGTGTCTGTATTGAACGTAACCGTGTCTGTTTCTTCTTTTTCATTTGTAACCTGAATGAAACAAAGGGGCAGGTTCATTCTATGTGCATGTGCTTTCCCCCTAGACTCTGGCTGCCCTAACGAGAAATTCGATAAATCTGCTTCCAAACCATCTCGCACAAGCTTTGCATGTCCACTCTGGTCCTGAGGAAATTAACAAGCGAATAGAGAGCGCCATCGACTTACGGAGTGGCGATAAGTTGAGAAGAGAGCATATCAAGCCTTTCTCACTGATGTTTAAAGACTCCAGCCTGGAAGAGAAGGTAGCTGGGCTATTAGACAGATAACTGTTTTTTTTCTTTCTGTCTCCCTCCTCATATCTATTCCGAGACGAAGAGTTTCAGAAGCAGAACAACATTTTTTTCCCATCATGAGTAAGCTAAAGGTACCTGAGATACATTTGTGGTATCACAGAGAAAATAAATTGCTGTAATTCCATGAGTCACAGACGAACATTACCGGCGTAACTGAAGGACATTGTTAAATTTATGGAAAAGAAAATATAAACGACTGCTCCTGGCTTTTCTTTTCACTCAGCTCGCTCCTTCATTTGAGCTCAGGTCCAGAGTCTCAAGTGTGCCACCACCAGGTTTTAGTCAATTAATTAAAATTTAGATGACACTGATTAATTCAGAGTAAAAAAAAAAATACCTGCAGTCAAAATCTATTTTTCAATTAATAATTATGTGTTATTGTTAAATTTAAGGGTCTTAAATTAAATGTCTTTAAAAGTATAATTCTAAGATAAAAATTAATAGGCCTATTTGAAGACAAAAGTTTTGAAATTAAATTATTTAAATGAAATAATGAATTCCCTCATAAGCTAACATGAATAAATCAAATCCCTAATTTGCAGCAGTATTTAATTCTATTATAATAATGCAACCTGTTTGTATTTGATCTTCGCTGTTTTAATGGCTTTAAATGAAATGTAATAATAATGAATATAATAGTTAATAAAATGACTTTTTTGTTAATTTTTCTTCATTTGAAACATTTTTTTATCGTTTTAATTTGAAATAATCAAATTCATGATTTGCGTTATAATTTATTTAATAATGCAACCTTTAAAGCCTCCCTTTACTCCAGTGGCACACTTCAGCCTCCATATTGATATGCATGAATAAACAGAGTGACCCAAATCTTCCTCTGTGCAACATGAACAGCGTTTTTCTTTTTAGTTGGTGAACATTGTCTTCAAACATTAAATCAACTTAACTGTGACTCATGTAAGAATCTGAATTCACAAAAAACAGAGAAATCTGCTCAGATTTTTCCGTCAGCGATCGCAGAGTAGCGAGCTGCAGTGAGACACTGATCTTTGGCGACGCTCATTTGTTTCGCCAAGGTCAGAGAAGCCCCTTCAGTTTACTCATGACCAACAGTCCATGGACCCTTTTACAGTTTTGTGGAAAAAGTTGACTCGTTCAACTTTTCTTTCCTTTTTACTGGAGCACATTGCATTCACTCAAAATGATGATGCTATCCTATAATCGTTCATTTATATCTCAATTATGAGACCATGATATTTAAATATTGTGTGCAGGCTCGATAATAAAGACTGTTTCTAGTCTGAAATCAGAAAACAAAAGGACAAGCACGCTCAGGTTCGATGAGAATAGAGAATATCATTTAAAAAAAGATTTGACACAAATATCAGAATTATTCTCTGACAAATCAGAAAGTGACACGTTCCACATCCTTCCACCAAATCCTGATAACTAAAAGAAGAACAAACAAACTATAACAAACAGTCGCAGAGAAAAACACGATGGAGGTAAAAACCTGAGAAGAGACGCTAACCCACAAATATGTTAAGACGTCTTCACTGTTTAATTAACTGAGATTAAACTGTAAAGTAAGAGGAAAAAAAAAAATCAACGATTCAAAGTAAAGAACGTGATTTTAATTCTACTTTAGATCCTAAAGTTTTCAAATACATCCGGCTTTCTCTTTCCATTCAATGAAATTAACAGAGAAACACCTGGATTTGAATAATTGACTGTTGTAAGTGGAAAGCTGGATTTTAAAAAAGCATTAATTTACTTTAGTTAACGTGTAAACACTACAAACGGATGAATTTAGAGCCACGGCGTCACCGCCAACAGCTGCACATCAACTTAACTCGTTTCCATAGCAACAGATTTCAATCAAACAGCCGACAGCAGCGTGATCATCGATCACTTAATGTTGATGATCCACAGCTGATCAAGTCATAACCATCAGATTTTTCAATAACTTAGAACATGTCTCTGAATGTTCTTCTTCTTTGGTGAATGCAAAGCTCTTAGTTCCTTGGATAATCTTTGACCTTTGAGTTGACCTTCACTTTGGCCCCTCCCTCCTCCATGTGTGTGTTTCCCTTTGAATCCCACTGCCATCTTCAAAACTTTTCCAAGAACCTTGTTTTAATTCTATTTCTTTGGTTTGACCTCTCTTCTCTCAGTGTGCAGTGATTTGCTGTTGGCCGACCTCCTTTTTTTATTTTTATATTTTTTGCCAAACTTGTGACTAAACGTGAAGCATCCTCTTGCTAATTTCCCAGCACCCTTTGAGAAAGAGACAGAGCGAGGACGGGGCAGCAGGGGTCATGGGGGGGGGTGGGGAGAGAGTTGATGGCTGAGATGAGTCTGGCTGTCGGAAATGATGATGCCCAAATTCTCAAGTCAATTAAATCATGAAAATAAATCTGTTCAGCCACAGTAGTGGAGAAATTAATCAGTTTAATGACATAAAGTTAATTTTGGAAGAGAAAAAAAAGGGAACTTTAATTTAAATAAAACTAAAATAAACAAAAGAGATTAATAAAAAGCATTACAAGAGTTGGTAGGTGGATTTGTGGACGTAGCACCGAGCCCAGACACACTCTCGTCTAACTCACATCACGGATCAGATGTAACACACACAAATCACATTAACGCAAAAGCAGGCTCGTTTGGGATACACTTTAGGGATACACTCAGGTTGTGTCTCCGACTAGGGCTAACGGCTAACAGCTAGCATTGTGCTTGTTAGCGTCACACCTTCCCCAGGACCCACAGCCAACCCACCGGCTCCTGTCTCTCTCTAACGCTTGTGTTTGAACCGTCGCATGAACCTGTGGCAGAGCGCTGGCGTGTTGTGGTGCACTTCGGTGTGTTCGGCCTGAAAACGTGTTTCTCCATCTTCCCCTCACCTCTCTCTTCCTCCTCTCTCTCTCTCTCTCTCGTCTTCTTCTCTCGTCCTCGGTGCAGTACTCCCAGATGAGGGATGAGGTCTTCAAGTCCAACCTGGTGTGCGCCTTCATCGTGCTCATCTTCATCACCACCATCCAAAGCCTGCTTCCCTCGGCCAGGTAAAAAAACCATAGACTAAATAAAGATGGACGACCTGACAGCTCAAAGGTGTCTCGATCGCCCCCTGGTGGCTGGCTGTAGTGTAGGTCATAAACCTCGTCTACTTCATGTTAGCAGATGGGACATCAATTCTAGGTAGTTCTTATCAGTCTGATGTTGATAGAATTCTTTTTCTTAATTATGGGACATGAATCTAGAAATCATGGGATCTCTTCTCGTTATCATGAGATATGGAGGTCATTATTTTGTGATTGAAATTAGTCAGAAGTAAATATATCCAAGGTCTCCGCTCACAGCTGGTGGTGTGATTATTATTTTGCCATTAAATGTTTCTGCAGAATGGTAACCATGGTGGTCCAGTTCTCCATCCTCATCGTCCTCCATTCCTGCCTGGTCCTAGTCACAACGGCGGAGGACTACAAGTGTCTGCCTCTGGTCCTACGAAAAGCCTGCTGCTGGATCAACGAGACCTACGCGGCGCGAAACGTCATCATCTTCGTCTCAATCCTCATCAACTTCCTGGCAGCCATGATCAATATAGTGAGTCCAATTTCCAGGAGGAGATTATTAAAATATGAATATTCGTAGAGACAAGAGTTTCTTGGCTCTGTCTGTTTTTGTACATAGCATATTGTCACATTTATCCTCTAAGATTAGCGGTGAAACCGATTTTACATTCTACTGCAAGTTTTAAATCGTCCAATTTAACCAATTTCTGCCTTAAAGGGGTCAAATCCCACCAGGAACTGACCCTGAAAACTATTATTACATTGACTTACATCATGGTTGAATTTCAAAACAATGAGGATTATGTGATTAGTTTGTCAGTGTTGTGGCCGGGTTAAACAAGTCTGTCTTATTTTTTATCGCCTGAAAACCTGACTTCATCGACCCCAATTTACCAGATGTGTCGGCTCTGTTGTTCAGCGGGGCGCCGACTGAACTGAAGCACATGAAACTAGCTGATAATTAGCTTTTGGTGTTGCAAGGTTGCATCAAACAGAAGACAAGGATCAGAGAGAGGAGAGAAGCCTTTGGACCTTCACACTGATACAGAGAAGTTTGTTTGTGTGAGTCAACTCAAACTGGAGGAAAACTAAAATTAAAAGTGCTCCTTTGTTCATTCACTAAACTTAACCACTATTTTTAATGTCCAAACAAAACCTTTAGGTTCTTAACGATTTTGCAAGTAAAATAAAAATTCTGTGGACAAAACTAGAATATCTTCAGCAAAATGAAACATTTCAGTAGCTTCAGGAAAATGATTTTATGTTCCCATGCAAGGTTACTCTCGATCTTTTCCAGATGACACAGGGATTTTCCAGAAAACAAATTTAAAAAAAACTCTAAACAAGATTTTCATGTGATTATTTTACGACAGATTATATATTATACATTTATTGTTCTTTTTATTTGTGTAACTGTGTTTTCCCTTTGTCTGGGTTTTCTTGAATGTTCTTTAAATCAACAAACATCTGTGACCGAGTAGTTTAAAGCTAAACTCTCATACCAACAACATATAACAAACTAGACAACAACTCCAGTGGCAGACTGATGGGAAAGATCATTTCTTTAAGAGGTCACAAACGAGTGGAGAGACGAATCTCTCAAACAAGCATCTTGAAAGATTAAAAGCTTGATGTGTGAAGGGGGATTCTGGGTATTTTTATGCTGATCCTGCACCAGCTTAATAGTGAACAAAAACAATAATCCGCCCTGTTGGTCTCTCACAGCTGTGGTGTGACTTCGACAAGTCCAGCACCTTCAGGAACCAGACGTACAACGAGTCAGCCTCCATCCCCGACATCTGCTTCTACCCAGAGGTACCGACTCAATGTGGCGTCTGAATTTTGCAGTCAGGTCCATCTGTTGTTTTTTTTTTTTCCACTTCTGCGACAGCGGCAAAATGATAAATTAAACATTTTCGACATCTGCTCGCACCCAGAGGGAGGTCTGGCCTCAGACGACGGCGACTGATGGAGCTGTCAGGACGTCACAGGGAAAATATCCGTTATGTTATTTTGCTCACACAATAAGAAGCTAATTGATGGACCCGACATTTTCACAGCTCCAAGCTTGGCTTGAGTCACGTATCGCTGCATGTACACAAAACCTGTTCCCAGCCTGGATCTTTAAATATGTTTTAAAGGTGCAGTCCACTCACTTCACACAGCTGAAAATGTTGGTTCACTAGTCACTAGCGTGTGATATAGTTGTACACGGTCGTCAGTGGCTGCGTTACAAACTGGAGTCGGAGAGTTTGAAAGCTGTGGCTGTTTACCACAGACTGTAAATAAAGATGGACGACCACTCTCCACCTCCGCTCACGTTCCAGAAAACAAGCCAGAATTTCGCGGATACAAACGCTGCCATCTCGGGCAGATGACGTTATATTCTGAGTCTGTGCGGTAACGATCGGGACATGAAGTCTCTGATGTCGATCATGACGTTTCGCCACAGCTTTTATATCATTAAACAACTAATAAAGTCCAAACTTACTGGGACAGCAGGCAGAGGACATGAGTAATAAAACCCACTCACTGACCACGTGCAACCACACGGCGTTGTGTTCGTCAGGGAACACGCTCGGTACAAATCTTCAACTAAACATTCTATATTTATATTAAGAGAAAACGACGACGTCTGAATCAACTGTCAAAGCAAACCGCTGATTTAAAGAAAGCATGGACTCAATGATGAAAAACGTTTCTGCTCTTGTTCTCAGTACTTCGTGTTCACGGGGGTCCTGGCGATGGTGACGTGTGCAGTGTTTCTGCGGCTGAACTCCGTGCTGAAGTTGGCAGTGCTGCTGGTGATGATCGCCATCTACTCGCTGCTGACCGAAGCCTTCTACACCTCGCTGTTTGTCCGCTACGACACCGTCCACCACAACACAGAGTAAGTGCTCTGGAATTACATGTTTAGCTCTTCACCTGCAGAACGATCAGCTTTACCAATCCAGCTGTGTTAAAGTTCCAATGTCAGTGTTTCTCAGAGAATCGTAGAGTCTTTATTTTTATTTCTCTCTCTCTGTGTGACTGTTCAGAGAGCACGTGTTAGCGTTAAAGACAAGCCCATGAATGTCTCTTCATTTCTCTCTTTCCTCACCCATTCCTCTTCAAAACACACCAGGGAGCCACATTGACCTTTTTACCGCACGTAAATGCTGCAAATGTGAGAAAACTCATCTTGTAGGCGTCCTCGGATTTAGTACAGTGACCTTTACAGTGACAATGTACGAAGGCATCCTGAGCATCTAAGCGTGACTGTTTAAGAAAAGAAAAAAAAAAGCAGGGGTTTGTGTAGAGGACGAACTACAGAGGAAGTCGTCTCTCTAAAGCCTTCAGGGAGACAGAAGGTCGGGATGAAACAAAGTCAGGTGGAGACGACGGGCTTTCATGTCTGGGTCACGGTGGCAGCGAGGATAATAATCACAGGCTGATTATTTACGTCATTTTTTCTGGTTCCATCTTTTGACTTTTGAATAATTGCCAGTTTTTAGTTTTCTGTGATGCGTTAAGTGAACATCTTTTGGAATGGGACTGTTGCATATCTAAAACAAGCATCTCGAATGACTACATTTGGAATCACAATCACAATCGCTCTAGACTATTATCGGCACAAAGACAGGAATGTGAATCAGTAGAGCTACGCCAAGGCTCAACAGTCGCCTTCAATTTAATCAAACACACACTCATCAGTCATTTCAAGAAGGAGTTCTTGCTTCGGCCCAAGTCGTATCCCTGATGACAGACAAACATTATCTCCTTGGTGGAGGCAATAAAGTTTAGGCTGCTGCAAGATGACGACCGCAACAACATCTTACAGTGTTTTGTCAGACATACGTACTTCCTGTGGTCATCACCTACGTGGGCGGAGTCTACCTATACTTGACTGATTGGTTTGTAGACGGCGTATGTCAGAAATGAATGAACGGGTAATATCATGCGGTATTACTACCAGCAACAGAAAAGTCAGAAGGTTCCGACCAAACTAGTTGTAAAAGAGACACTTAAATTTGACATATTAAAAGGTATTGATAAAAATGTGAAAGATGAATCTATCATACAAAGATTTGCAACCCAAACACTGTGTCGTGTGATGATCACCAGATACATTTGATCTACATCTTGTTTTTAAAACTCAAACTTCAGTATCTTCCAGATGAATTTTGGTGGATGACGGGACAAATTAAAACTGGTTAACATATGAAATTGTTTCACTGTTCTTCTTCCCACAGGAACTTCCTGGGAACGAAGGAAACATCGCTGCTCCTCATGGCCATGTTCCTCCTCGCAGTGTTTTACCACGGACAGCAGGTCTGTTTCATGTTTAGCAGTAGAAACCTAATCTTCACATGCAATCCAGGAGGTGGTGACCTAAACTTTAAACCGCTCATCAACCACAGTGCTGTCACATCACGAAACCCCTTGAATTGTCTCGCTGTAAAGGAAAATGCAGACTATAAATAGAAATGTTGAACCTTTCCTTTAAATGGTAATAACAGGGAGATAAAATGCAACAGGCCTGAGGAACGTCGCATCATTCTCGTTGCTATGCAGCCGTCTAATTACCATTAGCAGCTCACCTGAAGCAACAATAACAGAAGATAAACAGACGGCCGCAGTCCAGAAGGTGTTCTAACACATTTTTGTGTTATTGTTTATTTTATCTGACGTTTACCACAAACCAAGTCCCGTCCATCTCCATTGTATTTGAGGGTTTGATAACCAAATCCTAACAATCATTGCCAATTCAATTCAACCTCTCATCATTTACTTCTGGTTTTATCAAGATGCAGTCAGAGTCAGCGGCCTGAAGGAAACTGGTGTTACCACGTTGCTTTCACATTTTCTCTATGGCAACCTCTGATTGTGTGGGTTGGCGGCTCGTTCGGCAAGAGAGGGTCTTAATTGATGGTCTTTGTAGCCCCATTAAAGTAGAAAGCAGCCATGTTTGGAATCATCCAGAGGCTTATCGATTTTCCGCGGATCAATTCAGCCACTTGTTTGGTAACACAGAGACAATGACGACAGACGGCATGAGGTGTGCAACTGTCACCGTTCTGAGGAGAGAAAACTCAAGGGCCAGACATGTGCCAATATGATCCCTGGTTCTTTTTAGTCTCAGGTGTAAAATCATTGTGGGTGTTTTAATTGGCTCCATTCAATTCCAAGAGGGAGAAGTTCTCTACTCTCTCAGTCTTGTTTTATTTCTTGTGATAAGACTCACAGCAGGTGTTATGTCCGTCTCCTGGGGGCACCTTCATTTGGATTGAATTTTAAATTTTCCCAACAACTTCTGTTTTTGGTGCAAGCACCGTGTGACCTCTGAACTCTGGTGCGTGATCTCAGCGCAGCAGTCCAACGATGATGGTGAAAATAAGCATCTGAACATTTGAGCTTGAGCTCTCTGGATCTCAAACTTTCAGAGAGCAGAGATCCAACAGAAACACGAAGCAGCGTCATCATTTGCTCTCTGTCTGGAGAACAAGGCTGTTCGGTCTTTTGCAGCTGTAAACTCACAGCTCCGTCCTCCATTGTTGAGCAAACAAAGAGTGTAAAAACATTAGTTAGAGCTTCTTTCAGAGGAGACGTTCAAGTGATTTTATTGTGTTGTGAAAAAGGAGCCTATTAGAGCAGAGAGACGGAGGACACTCACTCCTTTATTCTTCTTCACAGCCTCTTTCATTACAAGACCCTCACTCTCATTTGTGCTTGTTAAATGCCAGTGATTTGTACAATGTCCTCGCAGTGTGTTACGTTTGATGTCTATAACCAACGAAACACACGCTTTCCATTCGTACAACGTCGAGGCTGCGAGTACACAACATCACTTTCTGTTGTTCTCTGTTGATTTTTGTGTCTCCACAAGCAGCAGATGAAACTAAACCACAGACCTGTTAAATAATAAACCAAAGGCAACAGAGCACAGGAGCCAGATGAGGTTGTTCTTCATGAACGCGACTTCCTGTCACAACAGTAATTACATTATCAAGCACAGTGAACATGAGCCATTTCATTACAAGGCTGCAGACAAGGCTCCGATTATACCACAATTTAGTTTGAAATAATTATAAGATCAGAAGACCGATCAGGGTTGTAATATAATGGTAACAGTAGTATGAGGAGAAATCGAATGTTTTAATTAAGGAGACGTAAAGCTTCTTTTTAAATGTCTAAATATATAAACCACTATTTTTGTGTGTGTTCCATTAGAAACCAATGTTTGCCTCGGTTTGGTTTCTGCCCGCTGCACACTACAACTAAATCGGGCTGATTCCAGGTCTGATTCAACCCTCCTGACAATCACAGGGATTTTTGCCATTGACTTCAGGCGGATTGGAAACGATTATTTGGAATTGGAAGTAGAATGAAAGGAACAGTGATTGAGGGAGGGGACAGAAACCTGCAATAGCTAATGAGAGCGAGCGAACCAGGAAGCGTGTGGTCGTGCATCTCGACTGGATCGCTTAGTGTGCTCTCAATCAAAAGGTTAAAAATCAATTAGCTCTATCGTGATGTGTGGAGCTTTCTAAAAATCTATTAAGATTTGAAAATCCTCTCCTGAGCAGCATGTGAGATGACAGCAGCTCTAATCCTGAGTGAAATGTTTATTACAGGAACAGAGGATTTTTTTTCCTCTGCGTCTCTGGGGGGTTAATAGAAGCCATTTTGAAAGAATGTGTCGTCCAGCTCCGCACTGTGGAGGCCGTGTCGGTTAACGGCCACCATCTCATTATGCCACTGCCAAACAAGCCCTGCAGGCTTTGCATTCCTTATTAGAAATGAGAATTAAGTTTCACTCATATGATTAAGGGACTAATTGATACCACAATTAGTCACTAAACTGTTTCCACCAATCGACAGAGAGACAGACAGACGTGAATCGTCACAGGATCATCTGCCTGATTGTATGAATTATTGTTTTCTTTACCATAGAATGGTTC